GAACGCCGAACGCCGAACGCCGAACGCCAAATGCATTGTTTACTTGCGATTAGTTTCACTCAAGTTTACTTGCGGTTATTTTTTATTTGTTGGAAAAGGCAGTATTTGGCTGGTGAAGGACAAGTGATGGTGCCGCTGTTTGGTGGCAGAATATGTGCCAATTTAACTTTTCAAATTAAAGTCAACAAAAAATTGACAACCCTGTGTTGTTGTTGTTGTTGTTGTTGTTATAAAAGTGGCCCACGACACCATCAGCACAACTCCTGCAAACATTTTCACTCACCAGGATTACTGCCAGTGCAGGTCCTACGAAAGCGTAAATGACTCCGTTTGTCACTGACAGCCAACAGCTAGAACAAGAAGAGTCTTATTTTGTTATTGTTTATCATTTGTATAATTTGATGCCTGATGACTAAAGTAGTTGGTGTCTCTTGTGTATAAAACTGAATTGCGTGTGTGTATGTTTCATGTTTCCCTTGAAGGGAAAACGTAAAATGCGTAAATAAACCTAAATTTAATGTACTTATTATAAACTGATTTTCCAAGGCGTCAATTTGACAAGTGCCTTTTCTGAATCCAAAATAGCTGTAAACCATGCAAAGCAAGCTTTTACAACTTAGAATGAAAGAGAGCCAGATTTCCTTGTAGTTATCAATAGTAAGACAGCCTAATCCGGCTGTATACATTGGATGCTGCTAGTAGTTGGTGAAGTCTAGTTAAATTTTCAATAGAAAAAACGTTATTAGGAAAAGTTTGAAATATTGGTCAATACTGATGAACCCCAGTTGGTCTAAAAACAACGTGATATCCAACCATGTGGCTTCAAACAGTAATTTGACTTCATACCGGGAGTCTGTACCGTAACCATCATGGGCAACACTGGCAGCAATAAGAACAACAATTCCAGGCAAACCTATTAAGGAAAATGTAAAACATAAATTCATGCTGTTTCGACTGGCATGGTACAACCCGCTGATAACTATGAATCTAGAATGGTGTGGGTCAGTTGGAATTTGTGATGTTTGATCATCAGTCTAAGACTTATGCATTGACACAATACTTTATTTATTTGAAACATACGCTTAACTTTACGGTTTAGTTTAAGAAAACGGACGATGCATGTTTTCGGCCAGGTTCCGATCAACGAGAAACTCCTTTTTTCATTTATAAGACAATCTCAATAGATGGTCTCACCGTATGCGCATAATCCGTAGATGCGAAGTTGTTCTTTGCTGTTTTCAAAAACAGTGACGACCATAACATAGAGATGGACGCCTTCAACTAACATCCATGCAAATGAAACCAACAAGAAATAGTGAAGTAACACCGCTACCAACGTGCAGGCAACCTGCAAAGAAATGGAATACAACTTCGAAATCATTTCTGCAAACTAAAACTGCATCAGTTACGGTCAATTAATTAAATTGAAGTAAACAG